TGCATGTTCTTGGTCTGATGGTTTTCATTGTGTAGCATCAGCCCACATCATAACTGGAATCAAACCCTCTGGATTGTCTTACAGGAGCAGATGAAATGATGACAGATAGAAGAAAGGAAGGAGGAGGTGTGTTGGTGGTATAGAGAGTATGGCTTTCTCAGCCATGAATAAAAGAAAAGAGGCCTGACACAGGCAGAAAGAAAGGAGGATAGAGGCAGTCGGCCAGCTCCACAGCTCATGGCTATTATGGGATGGCTGCTTTATAGACAACACGGGAGGAGACAACGTTTTGGATAGGCCCATGTAATGGATGTCCAAAGTGATTTCTCAGAAAGAGCATTGTGCATTCAGCTTGGGAACCAGAGAGGCTTGATTGGCTGTGTTCAGCTACATAGTTGGCCACCTGTCAGCCCTTCTGGGAAATGAGTTTCTGCCTTTTCTCTCTTTCCCTAGTTCCCCATGGTCAGTGTATTCACTTTAGCTGCAGTGGGTGAATCACAGATTAATGAACAAATGGACCATCACACAGATAAATAGGCACATGCTGCTATTACTTTCTTCACTATCTTGCTCCTACCACAGAAGTCTTTCAGTCTCATCTGTGGCGCTTCTTGAAAAGTTTGTTTTTGAATGAATAATGAGATGGATGGGTAAGTTTATCAAATTGGCAGGATATTGTTGTTTAGTATCATGAATGTCCAGTATCAGACATGAATGGTGTGCAAATCTGGGCAACCTGGGGCTTTTACAAAAACCTGGACCCTCCATGTGCCACGTTGGACATTTTATTAATATATGCACTAGTAGTAATTGTAATGTTTCCCACGGTGCTTTGAAGGTACCATCTGCATCTCTTACACAGACTCGACTGCCAACATGTGCAAAAGTTTATCCTTGCTCAGTGGGTGCAATTTAAAAAATTAAATTATCTAAACTAATGAGCGCGAATCGGAGACGGAGCCAGAGTGAGCTGGACGCGTGCAGTCTCCTCCTGAAGCTTTTCATGCTCTAAAAGATGTTTGTTCCTGGTTCAAGGTTAGTTCATGGCCACTATTAAGCGTGCTAGCATTCTGAGAGTTCAATAAAGTTTAAATGCGCGTGCTGCGGTCAGCCTTGGCAGCAGTTGTGTGTTTTATGATATGGGCTTGCTATGGGCTGGCCATCAGGGGTTTGGCTGCAAAAGCTGAACCTTTGGACTCGTATTTACCATGAAGCAAGGACGGTGTTATCAGCTAAGGGGTCAAAAAGGCAAAATCAAATGGACTTGATTAGCCACAGATCACTGGACATGCATCTTCCAGTGCTCCTGGCCCACCTATGACTTCAGGTGAGAACTGCATGATCCAGAGCTGATTCTATAGGACTTAATAAGTTGATATTTCATGAGCGCCATCCTATCATTATTATTCACTATTATTTATGGTACTATTTACCATAGAGGAAGTATGTTGTCTGTCAGACAGCAAGGAGACACCTCAGTAGCACACCTTAGTAGCACAGCGCCTCTCACGTGATGCCGAGCACAAAATATGTATAAAGAAGGGGAACGAATGAGTGAATAAATAATGAATGACACACAGCTGTGGTGCAGGGAGAAGAAGAAAAAAGGGAATATTGGAAGGGAGATTCCTTTGATTCATCATAATTCAGATTTCAGAGAGAATATAATTAACCCCAGCGCTCCAGTTAGAAGTGTGAGCTCACACACGATATGAACACAACGCTGTCAGATCCTCAGACACACCCTGCTGCTGATGGGCTCTTGTACAGAAAATGAGCACAGTTGTCGGGGCCATCGGTCCTCTGTTTCAGCCGCTGTCTTCCAGAGGTCTCTGCTGTTGATTCTTAAAATTGGTTAGAAGAAGAATAAAGGAACTCTGATGGAATTTCTGATTAGAAAACGAAACCTTGAAGATTAATGGAATTCAAATGCGCTGATTAAGACTGCATTAAGACAAGAGTCCTGCCAGCTGCAAGAAACCTCCTCGATTCGGCTGAATTTATATAAGTCCATTAAAGCTCAATCCATTACTGATGGACACCTTTGCCTTTTATAATGAATGGTTAAGAATTTACTGTCTTGAACTCTTGCGAAGGGATGCAAGGCTGAGTTTTAAGGCTGCATGAGTGGGTAAACGCTGCCCCCTGGTGGTCCATCAAGGCCCTTCAGCTCCTCCAAATCCCAGTCTGGATGCTTCAAATTACAAAGTGCTGAAGTGATTAAACCAATCATGAGCAGGTACGAATCATCCGAATGGATAAAGAAACACAATCCATGCACACATGAACACACAAAGATAACAGCCAACCGCATGACTTCCATGTGAATCAGTGTGCAGTATCCTGAGTCAATGAACAGAAACAATCCACATTAATGCACACTAACATGCACTCAGTCCTGTCTCCTCCACCTAATCAGCGCTGCATGAAGCAGACGTATTAAACATCAGAAACACAGCTGGTGAACACCCTACAGTATCCGGTAATGTTATCTGGTAGGAAGCTTTTCTTAGAAGACATTTCAGTATCACACAGTCTGTCTTGGGAATAGAAACCACAAGTGTGTGAAGAAACTAGCACACTTGCATATCGTTCTTATTGTTATTCTGTTCAGCTCCTTCTTTATGGCGTCTTAACAGCCTGCAGCAGCACCAAAGGCTCCATGAATGAGTTTCATAGAAAGCTTGCCAAGCAAAGCCTGAAATGCATTTACGATATAACAGAGGAGAGCCCACTGGAACACAATACCTGCTGCACACGAGACATGGTGTAGTACATGTAGAATGTGTAGAAGCATCGCTGGAACACAGAGAAATGATTTCATTAACTGAATGCTTTCATTGTCTAGCTAATTTATGCACATTAAATATATGAAGAGTTCATCATCAGGACACGGACAAACACACACACACACACACACACACACACGCACACACACAAACAAATGAACAGGATCCCAGTTAGAATGTATTAACAATATTTATTCACTACAAGTCCAGTGTTATTTTTCCTATTTCATTTCAAACCCAACGGTAAGAACAAGATGTATGTTTTTTGTTTTTAATTTTCCTCTTTACATATGTACACATTGGTTTTGCTATCAGCAGCAATATATCACATTTGTCTATATACACAACCCACACACCACCTTGTGTACCACGTGCCAGCCTATGGCTGGGGTAGAAGATGAGATGTTTAGTTAATTTGGGTTAAAACCTCAGTAGATCTCTACTGATTGTGCTCTCTTTCCTCCGTTTCTCCTGCAAACAGAGGCCAGAGAAAGAGTAAAATAATCTCAGTGTAGCTTTTCTGACTCTCTCTGGTACAAATAAAGCCGAGGGCCTCAGAAGATGAGCTCCTTTCTAATGCTGTCAGCCCCCATTCAAGGCAGGGACACTGGGAGGAGATGGTGAGTGGAATCCACATAGACAGAAGACTTTATTCTGAAAACACTGTCAGACAAAAAGGAGGGAACCGATAATTGATCTGGTGACATCTGACCTCTTCCAGCCTCTCTGTGTTTATAAATCAATCCGAGAACGTGCCGTAGCAGACAGACAGCACTGAGAGGAAAAAGAAATGGATACCGACACTGATGAGGAGCGTAGCTGCAATCAGACCTGGGCCAGACCAACACAAGAACAAATGCTTCATCTGGACCCATACAGTGCAGTCAGTAGCTACTGTGGCTAAATACAGAATAAATAAGTCAATGAAGATTTGAAACTACGTGCCATTTTCATGATGACCTCAAAGCAAAAGCTGGGAGATATTCAGGACTGCTGCTGGATCCACTACAGGCCCACATCACTGACAACAAACCGACAGAAAACCTGCGCTGACTCGTAACCATTCGGTCTATGATTGGGATTTAAAATGAGTGAATTATCATCAGGACACCAGTGAAGCAGACGTATATTGTCTGGGTTATTATTTACTGCTGTCATGATCTAAATATTTGGTGGAATTATATAGAATTCTGTTTAATATCGTTTAAAATATAAAACCAATGGCAACCCACACACACACGAGCTGGTGACAGATGAAAGGAAAGACCAACACAAACCTCTTAGTGCAGTGTTTGGCCACCAGAGCAGCTTCCATCTGCCTCAACGCTGATTCTCCAGCATCATCTGGTGTTTTCATGACGATGTTCTCTGCCAGGAGAATCCTCATCCTGGCAGAGAACATTGTTTCACCGTAGCTTAAAGGCAATCACTCCTAAGAGCTTTGCATTGATTTGCAGTGAACCTTTCCTCTAAAGCTACAGGTGGATCCAAAGCGCCCCCCCAGCTGCACAAGAGACCCGCTGGATCCTGTGACTGCAGGGCAAACATCCAGGCTCTTCTCTTAGACGACACCACCATCTGTCTCCAGCTCTGTGAAGCAGTGCTGCTGGTTTCCTCACAGCTCAAACTGAGCCATCGTCGTTCTACTGATGGCTGGAAGAGTTAAGGAGGAGCTCCATGTCTGGTTTTTCCTCACACACCACACTGAGCATCATCACGTAATGTGCACGGTCGACCACGACGTCCAGTTCTATCTGCGGATGTCCCTCCCATAGAAACATGCAAATGTCACGTTTTCCACTGTTCCTGTTGAAACCAGCTGATTAATGTTTGTGGCTGAAGCTCCTGCCAGCTGCACCTCAACAATAAAAGCTCTTTTCTTGTTCCATCTCAGTCAGAATCCACTGAGCCTGCTCAGCATGTTCATACCTGCCACAGAGCAGCTTTAACTCTACTATTCAATGCACTAGTGTGGAAGCATTCATTCAGCTCTTTCCTTTAATTTGTCACCCAGCTGTATATAAATATATCTGTGTATATACTTTAACTCCATCAACTTAAACAACATTCTTTACTGGTAAATGGAATGAAGGTATTAACTGAATACAGCTCAAACAATGATGAAGTCGGGGATATCGTCTACATAAAACAGTAATTAAAAATAAAGTTTACAGCATTAAGTCATGAGACTGTGTTTGTTAAAGTTGGAACACCTTTTGGGAAGTTTTGTCCCAGTAAGACTTTGAACATTTATTTTAAACCTTTCCAATAGACGCAAAGAGAAATTTGTTAAAGCAAAAAAAAAAAAAACAACAACCCCAAAACATATATTTTCCAAAACTGTATGTTACACAAATGTGTCAAATACTGCATCAAAGCTAGGAGAAACCATTAGAACTTAATGTGCATTCAGGCACAAAAAGAAAATGAGGATTGCTAGATTTAGGAACAGCAACAGTTCAGACTGTTGAGATTTGGTTAAAATACAAAAACACAGGTCAGAAACACGGTGATATCCTCTAACATGTACAGCAAAGGTGTTATTTATAGTAAAACAAATGGCCGTTAATGTTAAACCACATCGTATTGACCTCAGTCCTCGTAATGAAATGACAATACTCAGTAGAAAATGAAAATATATATATAAAAACATCCCTTCATTGAACCAGCTGTCGACCGAACCCAGCAACAAAAAGAACGGCTTCAAAATTAAGACACATGAGTTGTAAAATATGTATTAGACGTGTTTTCTTTGATTCACAACCATCCCACCGCTGCCGTATGTACAGTAGAAAACAGCAGGTGTTAGCCTTTATCCAGGGAAGAAAAATCTCCTTTAAATATATATTTCTCTTGTCTCTTTATAAAGCATCTATGAAATAAGACATCCTCTGACCCTCAGAGCAGCACTGATGTGACACGAAGCAGACGGATGAGGACAGCGAAGACGAGGACAAACTCCATCTGCAGGTTCAAGTTTAGATCAGGGACAGGAGCTCTCTGTTGGGAAAAAGCAATGTTTCTCTACGATTCCAGCACTTGTACCTTCCTCCAGTATCACCAGTGTTTAGATTTCTGCTTACTGTGTGAAGCCTGTCATTAGTAAGACTGAGTTTTGTTCATAAGACGGCAGCTTTGATATAGAATTGCTCTGAAAAGTGCAAAAACGTAATTAAGATGTTTGTGAAATAAAGTATAATAATGCGTTGCATCCAGAAACACCTTCGAAGGCCATCCTACCACCACCATGTTCCTCCAGCAGACACCTGAACATTCACCGTTTAATCCCGACTTCTCCATCATTACTGTCAATCAAAGGTTACGACTGTGAGAAGAAATGATTAGAAACAAAACAGACTTAATTTGTTATCCTAAATCAGGGGACACATGCACTCTGTGGGAACCCGAGCCGGCGTCTGTCTGCAGCATGGACACACTGAGATGACAATGCCTTGTGTTGCTTTGAGTCCAAGAAACAGAAAACGAAAAGAAGAAACACAATCATCACAATGATCCAGTCCTGAAGAAGATCCGGGAGTCCAGGTTTTGCAGGATGTTTCACTCCAGCTTTGTGAAATGATCCCATGTTCCCCCTGCGCCCACCAGAACCATCCGTCCAGTCGGGGATGATGGACTGCATCATGATGATGCACGTGGCCCACAGAGCAGAGGGTCCCGTCCATCCAGGAATTGGCATTAAATGAACTCTGCACTGTAGAATCCCAGCTAGTGTTGAGATAAAAAGGTGGAGACATACAGAAAGACACAGTTGTAAAGGGCAGTGGGCTGTTTCAGCCCATATTCGGTCAGTTTTTGAACATCACAACCAAACCCTCGGTGCTAACAGTGTGTGAGACCGGCGTTCAGACCAGCGAGCCCGCCCTGCTCTGGGCCGGCACCATGACCGGCACCGCCCCCATGCGCTCCAGCGTGGCCTGGCTCACGGCGTAGGAGTGCGTGTGCTGCCCGTGCGTGGACGTCACCACCGGTTTGAGGCTCACGGAGCCGTTGCTGCGCACCATGGTGGGGGGGGACGGGGCAGAGTTCGTGGTGACCACCAGAGTCTTGGGCGGGGGCAGCGTGTGGCTGCCGTTGGCGAACGCTGCCGTCGTGGCTGCGGTGGGCGGTGCGTGGCGGGACAGCGGGGTCGAGCCCGGGGCCGTGACCACCGCGCCGTGGCCGTGCGCCGCGCTGGGCGGCTGTCCGTGCGCGTGTGCGCCGTGCGCAGCGGCAGCAGCGAAGGTCTGCCGAGTGTCTCCGTTGTAGCGCGTGTAGGAGTTGGTGTCGTAGTTGGGCTTGGGGTTGTGCCAGTAGCGGCTGTTGTAGGTGTTAGTGGAGGTCAGAGTGTCGTTCTCGGAGGAGGAGGCGTCTGCGTGGAAGGCCTTCACCGACGATGACCTCTTAGGAGGAAGGTCGTCTTCTCTGAATGACGGGTTTCAGAGAGAGCTCAGTCAGGACAAACATGGACATCTTTAATTACAGCTCACTGCACTAACATTAGCAGTATTTATTACTAACAATAAATTGATTACAGCAGAAATGATAAACCCACCGAGAGCCAGCGCCCCATTAACATCTTCCAACCACTGTTTGGTTTGACTGATTTTTATGTTCTGACTTGATTTTATATTTCACTGCTCTCATCAGTTCCATTTACATCTTTAGTAGTTTGCAGAGAAAAGGTTCTGACATTATTCTGAACGCACAGATTCAACAACGAGCTGACAAACACAAAAAAGGGAACTGTGGAGCTCATCAGAAGGCCACAAAGTGTTGAGATTCAGTTTTACTTCCATTTAATGGCACTTAAGGTTTCACATCAGCGACTAGAACTGATCTCTTGATTACAAACTGTGATCTGTGAAACGTTTCTGCTGCTTCACTGACTGAAGACGATGTGAAGATGTCGGAAAGATGAGACGCGATCGCATCAAGCTAGTTGATTAGTTCGTCGTCAAATATTTAGCAGGAGTCTGCGTTAAACATTAACAGACCTTCTGCTGAGAACATAAACACTATTTATTGATTCATTTACTCTCAGATCTCTCTGGAAACCTACATGGACTAAATCAGTTAAACAGAAAAGGATCTGTATATTTATTTCACTGTTTACAATGTGTTCACCTCTTGTTGATGAGTTAAGTTTCAGAAAACTGTAGATATGCTGCATACAAAACCTGATCTGTTTCTGTGAGGAGTTAGGCTCCTGATGCATCTGAGATCAAATATATTCAGTGTGATTTTCTGTTAAGGCAAAGCAGAGCTTGAGAGGTGGAAACTGTGAATGTGGACAGCGGCCCAGAACCAGGCAGATGTTATCCCAGCCAGCCAGAGCTTCAGATATCTGATAAAAATGATTTATCTTCTAAATGATTCCTGGAATAATTCAGGGATGAAATTGTAGTCCATGTAAACAACCGACAGACTCACAAACTGTTTGAAAAGACAAATGAGAATGTGATGATTAAAAAAGAAAAAAAAAGGAAGACTACGTGAAGCTGAAGCTCTAAACTGTGAATCTAATTTACTGGCCTGGAGTTTAAAATACAGCTGAGAGGCCACGAATGTCCCCCGCCACAGTCTGACAGACGACTCTGCAAATATCTAAGCAAACAGTGTTTAACAGCGAGAAATAAATCTAATACGTTGTTCTCTTAGAAATAACAACATGTATATTCTACAGTATGGAGAGAATCAGAAATCAAACTGTTTTATAGTGAAACTCGTTCTTATTTGTCAGTGCAAAGTCAAATAAGCTTCAACCTGTAGGAAGCTGTCCAAACTAAACCTAAAATAAACCAACAGAACACATCCTGGTGAAGCCTAGAACACCGTACGAGGCTCTGGACCTCCTCACATGGCTCAGACTGTTCAGGCCTCACACGCAATCACATGATGTCGTTGATTCTCCTGAGACTTCAACAGTCTGGTTGTAATGAAACACGGTAGGATTCCAGAAAAAAAAAACAGAAAACCATGAATCAGAACCAAACCTGATCTCGTTGGGGATCTCCTCCTCGTCATACTTGTTCTTGTTCTTCCAGTAGAAGAGCGTGACCACCACCAGCAGGGAGCAGATGACCACAGCCAGGACTCCCGTAGCGATGGTGCCCGCGATCAGACCCACGCTCTGAGGCTGGGCTGCAGGACAGAGGACAGGTTTAAAGTCTAAGTCATCCAGGATCTCCCTACACTCAACAGGAAACTGAGGAAACAGCAACACAGCGAGCTGAACTTTTGTGTCCAACATTATGTACGATTCAAGCCGTTTAGATTCTGCTAAACAACATACAATCCAGAAGTAAAGCAGTCGTTTCAGAACAGTTCAGATCTGTTCTTCTAAAACCAGCTGATGACAGACAGAGGGGAGAGAGAGAGAGAGGAGAGAGAGGGGAGAGAGGGGGGAGAGAGGGATGATGGAGGAGGGATGAAGGTGGAGGAGATGGAGGGGGTAGGATGGGCGAGGAGAAGAGGAGGATGGAGGGGAGGTGAGGATGGGGGAGGCAGATGGAGTTGCTGCTGTCCAGCCTGAATCAGCAGCAGCTTAATCTGCCTTCTGGTCACCATCACACTCCTTCAGTGCAACCAGTTTGTGTCTTTTATGCATTGTTTCACAGTCAAAGTTCATTCTGCGGGCCGGACTGAACCCCCTAGCGGGCTGCTTTTGGCCCGTGGGCTGTAAGTCTGACATCCCTGTACTATATACTGGGACACATTATTATGTATAATGTGTGGCAGTATGGATGCTGGAAAGCACCAGGACTGAGCACATGGTTCATCGTTTATAGCCTGTAGATCAGCCAGCAGACCTTTTTCACACGAAGCAGCCGATTTGACATGAACTAAGAGATAAACCCGAGTGTTACTGATCACGGTAATGAAGGCTCTGCAGCCAACCAGAACACAACCGTCATGGACGCCATCCGTAAAGGTCTGCTGCCTGGTGAGCCTGGCAGCCTCCGTAACAGAGGGAGGGATGATGAGCGAGGGCTTTCACTTTGCCTTCAAGGAGGAGCCCCAGATGCGCTAAACTGTGCCAGATGACAGTTTTTTTAACGTCCAGCTGCCACAGCGTGCACACGAGAAGCACTTGCCAAAAAACACCCTCATGTCTGAGGGGAACTCTGCTCTCTGTCTAACTTGAGCTAGAAGAGAAGTCTGACGCTGCAGTGTCTCTAAACCAAGACGTGGCCTTAGTTTGGCTGTTCCATGTCAGACATGCATGAAACGTGCACCCTTAAAACAAAATCTTTAGGCACATACAAAAGGTGTTTTGTCTTTTCCTTCTCAAAGATATTCAAGTAATATGGAAACAGGACCGGTACAGAAAAGTTCAGAGCACAACTTGAGACCCAGCGCTGTGTCTGACAGGCAGACTCAGTGTATTTGTGATAGTGAGCGCCGGCCTGTCACACCCTGTCAGATTAAAATAAATAAAAATCAATGTTACAGTCCTCCCTGTCAAGCTGTCTGACCTGCGTGACCTCGGCCAGCTCTCTGTCGGTGTCAGATGTGAGGAGAGCTGCTACGTGCAGGATGTCTGTCCTCACACTGTTTGTTTTTCTGCTTATGTCTGTGGCTGACAAGTGTCACTCAAAGAAAAGGCTTCCAACTTTATTCCCATCTGTCAGGAGTGTGAGTGACGTGAAGAGGCAGCTTTTCCATGTACGTCCCTAAACAGACAGCCGTGTGTCACGCTGCACATACATGACAACGTCAATGATCTGATCCGTCTGTGTCTGACTTTACTTACGCGCGACAACCTGTAGGTTCAGCAGACATGTGCTTTTGCCAATTGCGTTGCTGGAGGTACACTGGTAGAGTCCTGAGGTGCTGGTGCTGATGTTTCTCAATGTGACAGTGCCCTGCATCTGGTCTGGAGGGGACACACACACACACACACACACACACACACACACAAACACACACACACAGAGCCACATAGTAATTAAAGTGACGACAACACGAAGCCTGCTGTTAGAGCACATTAGACACACATAAACATAAGACCCATCACATGATCAAGTTCAATCATATTCTGTATCAGAGGTAGTCTAGAACTTCACATCAGAGTAAATTTAGGATGTAAAACTGAGCTTGTGAAATCTGTTTAATTTTAATGTCCACAGCATGACTTGTGTATCCTTCCAGGAGAGGGTGCTATATACCTCCGAATACAAACTGTGCAGTGAAACTGTGAAGCTGCAGGTAGTTTTTTTTTACACATGATGAATGGGTTAAATTGTGAGATTAGAACCACAGAGCTGTACACTACTGGGGTCTTTAAAAAGCCTCAGCACTTCCTCATACGGCGGTTTTATAGGGAGTTAATGTTCCTGGTTGTCTTGGCAGCAACATGATGGACGTCGCTGCTGTCTGTGTCTAACTGAACACACAAAGAGCTCAGAGTGACACCGACACGTCCAGGATCGCGTTTCAATTATAATCAAACCCAAACAGCACAAAACAAATTCAAATATTCAAAGTGAGCAAGATATGGACACTGCTTGTTTGTTTGTTTGTTATTGTTGTTGTTTTATGTAAGGCCAAACTTGCTCAATATATATATATATCAACAGATAACAATATATATTTATATATTTAATTTGCAGATGTGCAAACTGTAAAATCTGTACATGAAAACTATAGTGTAACATCAGTGAGGATTCACATTAAAGGCTTGCATGCAGATATTATAAATGCAAACCAGCTGAACAGTAGCAGATAGATGTCAGATCCACTATTTCTTAGTTTGAGTTCATTTTTCTTTGTTCTTGTGCTCCAGTGCCACACTAGTTTTGGTGAAATACTATTTGGCCTCTTTGAAGCTCTCCTAGATGTTCCCATTTCAAAGGGCTGATTGCCAAACATGCAAATGAGCATTTCACAAATCCTGATAATTGACATGCATTCAACAAAACATGATCCACCTTTGTAGATTAATTTGCAATTATGATTCACTTACTGCAAATTTGCATATATTTCTCTGCAGTGCTAAAGGCTGTAAGAGAAGAATATTTATCTTTAAAGTCATGGCAGGAGGCCGCCTACAAGTGATGTGGCTTCTACTGACCAGTAGTGTACAGCTGGTGGAGATCAGTTGGCTGTGCAGCGGGCACAGCTGGGAAGGAAAGGAGAGTCTGTCACACCAGTTCTCTCTGATGCTGAAAACCAAATGCAACTCCAAATAATACACCTGCTTTCAGAATGTTTAGTGACTGCAGGGCAGGAGAAGGTGATGACACCATTCCCGTCCTTTGCCAGAGTTGGTGTTCAGCATGAGGGAAGACGGGAAACCCACTTACGAAAACACACAGACTCATTCACATATGCACAGGTTTAAATCATCCATCCATCCATCATCACCCCTCAGAGGGTCAGCAGAAGGGAACCGTCGGGCGGGCGTGGTGTTGGGCCAGCACATGACAGGTGGCGTGATGGTGGAACTGGTGCTGAGGCTGAGCTGCACTATGTGTGTAGATTTACCAGCAAAGGTGGGGCAAAAGGGAACTCCGACGGCCAGCTTGTTTGTAATACCTTGCATGGCGTTGTGCGGCAGCTTGGGCAGAGCGTCGAGCTTCTCCCAGGAGTAGGACGGCGTGGGAATACCTTCCTCTGAGCTGCAGATCAGCATGACATCACTGCCTACATCCAGCGTGCCCTGGATTCGACATGCTGGCACCGAGGGGGGCACTGGCAGATGGAGAGAGTGGGTGGCATTGCGTTAACCACTTTACAAAGCAAAACTAATGTTTTCCTAATTGCACAGGAAATTACATATTCGAAAATAGCTGAAGAATCCCATTAATCAAACACTGTGTATATGGAAATGGATTAAAAGGAATCCTGACAAACTGAAAAATACAGATTCCATCTTATCATAATAATTTAATGTTGTTGTTTATCTTTTGTTAGAGCTTTACAATGTGCAGCCAAATAATTATGCCCTCAAAAAGCTCTTGTTAAGCCCATTGTTTTCATTCTTTACTGACACGCATGATATATTTCATACAAACAGGCCACACTCACGTGGTTTTCCAATTAATGAGTGACTTAGTAACACTTGGTCACACAGGGTGCAGGTTTAACACTGCTGTTTTCTAATGTACAAACATTAAAACCACAAAAAGGTGAATAACATCGATCGTCTCCTTACAATGGGATGTTGTGCTGTGGATGTTACTCTGACATGTACAACACACCTACACACTGTTCCTCACCAAACATACCCCCCTAACAGAAATGAGACTTCTTATTAGCAGCTACCTCTAGTAGCAGGATAAAAACACTCAGCAATGGTTTGAGGAACACGACAAAGAGCTCATGCTGTTGACCAGGAAGCTGCAGATATATGAGAAGTCCTATCCACATCCACAGAATCAGTGACCAAGTCCCAGACACAATGGGTCACAATCAGTGTTATGGCTGGACAGTGTAAAACAGTGTTCTTATCTAATTGTGTGGTGGTGATGAGGTTAGTTACCCAACACAGTGAGCCCAATGACACCGATGTTGCGCCCCCCTCTGTCCGGGAGGTTGTTGACCAGGCACTGGTAGGTCCCAGTGTCGGACAGCTGGGTGTTGTTGATGAAGATGGAGGCACTTGTGCTTGGCATGGTGGCCACGAAGCCCACACGACCCACGAGGTGGTTGGCGAGGCTGAACACCTGGCCGCCCTGGTAAATTATCACCTGGACGTCACGGGGAGGGGACGGGAGAGAGGGTTGAAGAAAATAGAACAAAATAGAGAAATAAATGGGAAAAGATGGAAGGCAGAGAGAGACATTGGTGACAAAGAGGTCAGAGACAAAATGTAGGGGGAAAAGAAAAGAGAAATAATAATTAGCTCCAATAACTTGATTTTTACTGAATCAGTTTAATAAATGCATGAATAAATTCACTCCCACTGTGTCGGACAGGATTCAGTTTCGTGACAAGAAGTCAAAGCCAATGTCATTCACATGCATTCATGTCCTTCACTGGCCTGTTACACATCTCTCTCACTAGAGGGAGACTTATTTCTACAAAGAGGCTGAAAATAGACGGAGGACTGAGTACGTAATGGAGAAAACCGACTCTTATTTCCCTCAAAGAAACAAACAAACAGACAGACAAACTAAAAAACCCTTTTATTTGTGAGTGGTTCTTTCTACCGTAGTGGGTAGATTCCGCGGAAAGAAGTACACGCTAAAAGTATGCTTTCATGCTCCTGTAAGGCTTTCCAGATAAAAGCATACACTAAATGGTATGCATAATTGAAAACACCAACTTGGAAACATATAAGCTACAATCTGACGAATCTGAGAGCAGGCGGCCGTCTGTACAAGGGAGCAAATCAAGTGAGAAGTTAAAGCAAAACCAGGCTCTTTATGATTACATCAGTGGCCTCTCATAATAACCACGGTGGCAAAACACTTGAGCAGATGAACTCACGCCTTCAGGTTGAGGTAATCTTGTCTCAGGTCCAAATTAAAGGGCAGTGAAGGTTCAGCTTGTTTCAAAGCTTCCCTCAGGCGTTAAACTTGGATGAACAGCTCGTTTGTGAGGCCGAGCCACATGCAAAACAGCTCTCACCCCTCAGCTGGGCCCACACAAAAGATGAAGGACCCACACAAACACATGGTGCATGCACACTCGTCTGGTAGTCACACGTGCACGCGCCGACTCACACACCAGCACGGCACACACACACACACACACACACAAAACATGGAGGGGAATCAGAGGGGCTATTCACTTTGCTGAAAAGAGTCCTCATTGAACTGTTCAAAGACCCAGGCAGGGAAACAACCAGCACCAGTGTGTTCCTCTGTGTGTTCTTGTGTGCGAGTGTAGATGTGTGTGTGTGCATGAGAGGGCTAGTTGGGATAAAAGTGCAGGAGTGTGTATGCGACGTGTCCTCCACTGCTGCTTAACGATTGTAAATTGCGTGGCTGCAATTTCCTGAGTGCAGTTCGCTCGCTTTGTCCTCTTATGTGCAGATGAATAGGCAGCTCCTCAGCTGTGATGAGAGGCTGCAACTGCATCTCGCCTGCGTGTGTGTTTCGCTGTACGTTCATTTACTCACCGCGAGCTCAGACTTGTGTGTGTGGAAGTGTACGTGATTGTTCTGCCACATGTAGCTGCTCCTCAGTCCAGGAACTGTGATCAGCTCACGTCTTTTTTACAGGTTTCTGTGTGTCTGCTTATCTCCCGGTTCCAACAGACGGACCAGAGTGACCCAGCTCTACACTCCTGATGACCTAACATTATAATCTGCATGCTCGGTGAAAGTGATCCAATCAATCGGCCTCACACGCCACATTCTGTGTGTGCGTGAATGAGCCGAGGATTAAAGCAGGCGTAACCTATGTCACATCTTAGACTTGAGCCTGCTGCTGTATTTCTGTGACGATATTAGTTTTCTACAGAAGCATAGAGGAATAGACCAAGCAGTAGAATAATCACTGTGCGCTTAAACGTGCCACATTCCACCTATTTTCTGAACTTTGTGCCTCCGTGTGCTGCGTTGATCCTTCCATATCTATCACCTCATCCTCTCGCGTGACCTGGTTGGCTTTGTGGCCGTGTGCAGACAGAAAAGAGGTCATGGCTGGGACTCAGATGGCGAGCGGCCCTAAGAACTCTAGCTGGACTAGCTGGACACCCCACTGTTGGCGTGGCGCTAAACCTCTGTTTCATCCTTTCTCTCCAGAAATCCTCCACACAGATACAGTACATGTTGTTGATATCCTGAGACTGTGTGAGCCACAACGGGATGCTTCCAGTAAACCTTCAGATACTCTCTGTCACCATCCCAGCTTCCTGATCATATCCTACTTCTGACTGACCCCATAAGGGCCCTCTTGGCCCCAGACATGAGGAATGGTGCCATCGCCTCAATAAAGCCTGATAAATCTGTAAACCCACAGCCCCCTTCAATTTACTGACTGTAAGCTGCCACTGTTATCTCTTTCTATCCTCTGAGACATGTTCAGAACAATATGGGACCAGATCCATGTCACCAATACACTATCACTAATGCTACTGGCTTATTCCACAAACTACAGGCTACAGTAGGTATGCTTTGGCAGCTATTTTCAGCACAATAAATGTTCAGTCAGTCACTGTGTTTCTTAGCTTTTTTCTCTCCGTGGTGCATTCAAGGTCATGGCAACAACAGGCTACTTGTTTTACAGATGGCTTCAGTCCAAGATTTCCTCACATTCAGTCATGTCCAAACTACTGGACAACGGCGGCACATTTATGGTTAAGTTCAGGAACAATATGTAATGTTTGTACAAAACACAAACAACTGAGATTAACAAAAGCCAGAAGAAGTTTGAAAAGGGAAAACAGCTAAATGGAAGAAAACTCAGCGGAAGAAATTCAAAGAAAAATACTTATTTCTAAGGAAGTGCGTGGGTGGAATGGTAGCCATAGGTGGGATAAAGGATTCAGAAAAAAAGAAGAAAAAGTCAGAATTCATCACTTAAATACGCGATTGTTTTTCAAAACATCCATACCTTGGGTATTTAATGACCTCCCACACTTATATAATGCAGATTATAACCGCAAAGATGCTACACGCGAGTATGCAAATGCAAATGGCCCCTCTGGCAAGAACACGAGAAGCTGGTGAAGATGAGCAGCGTGCACGGTCACATGCACGCGTCAATCTTCACCGAGGTTATATGTTCTAGTTAATTGCAGAGTTTACACGATAAAGAAACAAACTGTGGGATGTGGAAAGCTGGGATTAAGCGACCTCTCAGAGAAATCCTGTCTGAATAAGGAGGTGATGAAGTGGAACTGGTCAGCAGGAAGGTGGAGGAGGTCCCTCTGCTTGGATGTTTCCCTCCACTGAGCGTCAGCTATGTGCAGTGTTCACATAACGTCGCAGGCATACGAACCACATCTGAGCTTAAATTTCTAGGAAATTTAAAGTGTAAGATGTGACAGATATGGGTTTGCAGAGATCAGGGCGGGGAGGAGATGCCAGCTCTTCAGCTGAAGGTCATGGCTTCCAGCCGCTGCCCGCTGACCTGAACTGTCCTTAAGAAAGACACTTGAAATCCTACTCGTGGAAACGACGATGTGCTGCTGCTGACTGTGCATACCAATGTCCCCGGAGGTCGGCAACAAATAAAAAAAGAATTCCTGTGCGCTGATCAATAAAAGGTATCAGATTATTGTATATGAGAAACTGCGTTGAGCCTCAGTGTATGAGCCATGGATGCTTCACAGAGAGTCCCCTCAGTCTTTCCACAGGGAGCAGTACACAGAAAACAAGCCTTATTAGATTGAAAAGGGTTCATTTTCCTTTAATGTGTCCAGCAAACAATGTTCCAGCAGGGTGAAAAGGGAGCAGCAAGGAGAGAAAAAGGTCCCATTTTAAGGATCTGTGAGTCCATCCTCTGGCAGGCTGTCGGGTTCAGATGAGGATCAATGTGATCATCTAAAATGCCATGACAGATGTTCTCAATTACAGATTAACATCGTTTCTGCACCACGGATTCTCTGTGACCTCAATTTCACCAGAAGTTCATTTCACTGAAACTGCACAATTTTCACTATTAAAAACACAAACAAACAGCTCCCTTTCCAGGAACTGATGAACACTGTGTTTTTTTTTCAGACTGAAAATCATTTAGAAAATAACTTTAACATGTTTTTATCAGTCCCAGAGGAATAAAACTTACTCTCCAACTTCTCCTCTTCAACCACCACAGCTAAGAGCAGAATATCAGAATATGTACCCAAATTGATTTTTAAGGATTTCAGAGAAGGCTGATGATATTAAACTGCAGACTCACCGCACTGAAGGAATGCTTCCTGCATATAAGCTCTTGATCTTTAAGCCATTTTGATGATTGCAACAACAAAGTCGGTTTCGGGAATTCGTATCACAGGTGGTGGGAGAGGAGAACGAACCTGGAGCTTTTATTAGAGCATAAATAACACCAATATCCAGCAAACAGTTTTAAAGAGGATAAACAACAGCCCGGGAACATAAAACCATTGTCTAGTTGTGTCTGTGTGGGTGTGTTTATCTGGATTATCTCACACCTAGCAGCCCAGACGAAAGAGGTCAGAATGTTTGATCACAACAACAGCATGATGGACAGATTATATACGCAGGAAACAGCACATGAACATGCACACACATCCCAACACACAGGTACGCTGCTCTGAGCTACACGCCAACAGGCTGTAATCGGATGTCAGCCAACAAAAGAACTGCGAGCTCAGCGGGACTCAAGTTAGAAAGTTGCAGATTAAAGAATCAGAATTTTGAGCAATGCAAAGTATTACAATGCAATATTGTATATATTGGTTGCTGCAGGGGCTGCATGGTGGGCTCGGTGGTTAGCACCGCCGCCTCGCAGCTAGAAGGTCGCCGGTTCGCGTCCTGGTGAGGACACCCAGGATCTTTCTGTGTGGAGTTTGCATGTTCTCCCCGTGCAGCGTGGGTTCTCTCCGGGTTCCTCCCACAGTCCAGAAACATGTTGAGGTTAATTGGTGATTCTAAATTGTTACCTGTCCAGGTGAACCTGCCTTCGCCCTGATTCAGCTGGGATAGACTCCAGCCCCCCCATGACCCTAGTGAGCTGCAACAGGGATTGTGCCAAGTTCATGTCTTATTGGAGTTATCACATCAACTTTTCAACTTGTGAATTGTTTTATGAGAAGGTGTAAATATGCTTGAGAAAGTCATTTGAAAGCTCCAATGTCAAGGTTTCTGCGTACAGAACAAGTTTACCGTTGAAGGAGATGGTTTCTTGCTGACAGTTGGATGAGAAGGCCTTATGCAGTCTCATATATATGTCTGTTAAATATGAAACCGCAACTAGCAGCTGACTAGCTTAGCTTAGCTTTTCCCTTCACCATACAGAAGTGCCTATAAGCTGAACAAAAATGGATGCTGTGACGACTGTTGTGGAGGTGGCCTTATAGTGTGTGTTGGAAGACGTGGCTGACGTGGAGAGGTGTTGGTTAATGCAGCTCACCTGGACCGGTCAGGGTGTTAAACCCGGCCCGTGAGTTCTGTGTCTCTGTTTCCACCCTCTGTGTTTGCATCCTGAACAACTGCACAGCAGCAGCACACATCCATTCACTGCTTCACTGTGTGTGTGTTTGTGGATTCCCTATTTCAACCTATTTGTGAAAAATTCCTCTTGCCAACCAGTTTATGTCTTTCAAGATGACAAACACACGCTTAATGGATTCAGTGTGGTTATGTCAATGCACATTACTGTTAATGGCCACAGAAGCAGCTCTGCAGTGACACAGTCATCGTGTGATTTCTGATTACGTCAACCCTCAAGCCATTACCATCAGTGTATATACACCAAAGAACAAAAGAGGAGCAGGTTTAATGCTACAAGACGCTCTTCATTAAACTTTGAATGCGTTATTTTGAGCACAAGCAGAAGTTAACATAAATTTGGGTTCATGTGCATCCAGGATTCGCTTTAGCTCTGCGTTTGATTCAATAACTCCTGCAGACTCCTGATGCGCTGAAGGCTCCAGCCTGCAGCTAATCGCTGACTTTCTCTGTCTGCTTGTCAGGTAGCGTGGAGCAGATTGTCAAAACTTTTCATTTCATGCTGAAAAAAAAAAATCCTGTAACCAGAAACAGTGAAAACTTTGATAGTGGACCAAAAAAAAAGGGAAAATTATATAAAAGAACGACAAGATGTTAAGAAATTTCATAACTCTGACTTTAGAGCCAGAAGATTACACAGTGATCTGACTCATTATTGCTATAAAAAACTTACATGAATGTATATTCTTATGTGTGTAATTTTCTTTTGAAGTGAAAGCATTAAGCATTAAAGTGCATCATAGGAATGAGTGACGTCTTTTGTTTATCAGAAAACCTATTTACTGCACTAACAGGAGGTTCTGAGTCTGATCGTGCTGGCTGGCTGGAGCCTTTCTGTCTGAGGTTTGCATGCTCTCTCTGCCTGCTTGGATCTTCTCCGATGCTCAGAGACATGGTGGTTTAATGTTCACTCTAAACTGGTGTAGGTGTGTGAGCATGCATGCTCGTCTGTTGTCTGGTGTTGGGCCTGTGATAAACTGGCGACCCGTCCAGGATGTAACCTGCTGCTCGCCCACAGCCAGCTGGGAGAGGCTTCGCCCCTTTGTGACCATCCATCCATCCATCCATCCATCCATTCATCCATCCATCCATCCATCTCTACACTGCTTAATCCTCACTGGGGTCATGTGGGGCTGGAGTCTATCCCAGCTGACTCAGGGTGAAGGCAGGTTCACCTGGACAGGTAACCAGTCTATCACAGGGCTACACTTAGAGACAGACAACCAAGCACACTCACATTCACACCTACGGACAATTTAGAATCACCAATTAACCTCAGCATGTTTCTGGACTGTTGGAGGAAGCCGGAGAACCCGGAGAGAACCCACACTGCACGGGGAGAACATGGAGACTCCACACAGAAAGATCCCGGGTGTCCTCACCAGGACGCGAACCGGCGACCTTCTAGCTGTGAGGTGACGGTGCTAACCACCGAGCCCACCGTGCAGCCCCCCCTCTGTGACCTTCTACAGTTTAAAGCTCTGATGGAGGGAGGGATGGATGGACAACTTACTATGTCTTTCTTTTGCACTAATTACTTCAGAAATCAAGCATGTGAGCAGACACCAGATGCACCAGGCTGTCACACTTCCTCCCCTAATCAACATAATATATGAAGCTCATTATGTTCCATCCCCTGTAATGTGGAGTCGACCGTGGAGGCTTCAGGCTGTAACGCAGCGGCTCAAGTCTTAGACAACAGGGCAACAAGAGCATCCTGGAAACGTGCATGAGGATTAAGGTGTGGGACGACAAACAGCCGTGTTTGCACCGTCAGAGAAGCCGACAATGTCGTGCTGTTACCTTCTAGCGGTGCATTTAGCCCACACCTATATGAACGCGGCAGTCACACCGAGCCGAGACCGGAGTGGTCAGAGTGCTGCGACTAAAGTGCTAACGCAGTGTGTGCAAGACGACGGAGTTCTGTTCAGTAATTCTTAATGGCTTTTAGCATCAACTATAATCATTTTTGACACTCTCTCCCTCGAAAATGACCTTGTGCTTGTTCTGTCACCCCGCGCAGCACTTTATTCCATCGCACATTTTTTTTAGACAGCTCACCAATTTCCGACACACAGGAAGTGTAATTTGCACAGTGTTTGCTTCCTCTCGTGTGTGTGAGTGCAAAGATTGTGTGCTGCTGCATATGTATGAGCGTACATTTTCCAGGGATGTTTGTGACAAGGTACGCTTAAACGCCTGTGTGGTTGCACCCAGCGTTCCCAGGTACGTATGGACTCCGTGCGTGTCACGCCGTGTGGTGTGAAGGTACAGAACGGGAACACAGGAAATGTGATGCAGCCTTCTACATTTTTCAGCTCCCATCATCACTTGTCTGTCATCGAAAATCATTCATCCGTGGGTAAGTCCCTATATGTGCTGGCGCTCGCTGTTGTTTTTAGTCCCTCAGTGAGTGTGTGTGTGTATTAGGCTTTTCCCACAGGTGTGTGCATGGGAGAATTACTCTTCTATGTGCACATTTCTGGAGGTGTGCATATATATATATATATATATAGGTCTGCATTCACACTTCTATTGAATGCTGCATGTGTGAAGTCAGTAAATATACTGTGTATATGGCTGCATGCATGTGAGTCTGCAGTGCGTTTGGACCAGCAGTCTGTCCGATGCCAGTTTGTGTGTGTGTGTGTGTGTGTGTGAGTGTGTGTGAGTGTGTAGCGAGAACAGCTGCGAAATAGAGCCTGTCGTGGGCGTGAGTTAATTAGTGCAGAAGATGATTGTATTATTTGGACGGCCGACCAGCGCCGGGGTTCAAAGTGAAGGGAGGCAGGTGAGCTTGTACGGCCTGCAGCTGCATGTTAAACAACTCAAATGGAATCACAGAAGTCCCGCAAGGGGGGAGGAAGTGTGAGACAGAGAGAGGGAGGGAGGGAGGGAGGAAAGGTGAGAGGATGAAAGAAAACGAGAGTAAAAGGCCATCAAGAAAGAGGCCAGTGAGACCAAATTAACAACAAAAGGACACAGTCTAAATCACACAGTGTGTTCATGAGCCGCTGATCTGTCCAAACACACCCACAACAGTAGAAGGACTTTAAGGTGAAGCTGAAACTAGGAAAGTGCCACATCATGTTGCCATCCTGCAGGCTGCACAGTGAGACTATACACACCTTTAAGCTCACTACATCTAAAGCACTCTATACTAATACTATACTATACTAATATTCTACAGGCGCGATCAGATGCACCGAAAAGAGAAGTTTTGTGTCGGCTCAGATTTTGCAGTGTGTATATTTTTGCAGAAATGGTCAGTGCACATGTGACGCATGCTACATGGGTCATGGGATGTACTATCACCATCGTCTTGGACCAGTGCAGCTTGAGCTTCCCGTAACGCTGTGTGATAGCGTCGCGCTAATTTGTCAAGCTGAAACATTTACAACTCAAGCAAATATGTAAGCATCTAAATTTGGGCCACTTGGTGTTTGTGTCCACGAACGTCTGTTTCTATCCAACCCGTTCTCATTCCCAGAATATCAAAAACGGCCTCTTTGTCGACGGCTGGCATCTCAGAGATACACAAAAGGTGCACTTTGGCACCACCTGCATCTGTCCTGGATGCTGATAGATGTATAGTTTGTCCAGTTTAAATGAGGACACTTGATGCGTGGTGGAGCTGTAAGTCACAGGACTTTCACCCAGAAGACTGATGTTGTGTCCTGTGTTGGCTCATTATTGCTTCACTTAATTTAGTTTATTTTATGACTTCAGTTTTGCTGTTTGTTCAAGTTAAAGCATCAAAACTGCTTGGTTAGGTTTAAGAAAAAAAATTTGGGTTAAAACGCACCCTTTTATAATCTTAACCACGCATTGCAGAGTAAACTTCTCTGTTCCTGAAGCAGGCGACAGTGATGACACCAATTGAGCACTTTTCTGGGTCCATCGGTCTACCCAGTGTGTGACACCAGCGGTCCTGACAAAGCAGCCATGTATGACGAGCTGGGAGTGAGACCAGGCTCTTGTATCACTCTACTGACTTTCTATGCATTTGTCCAACCTCTGAAGTTCTCTTTGCGCTGTATCTGAGCACCCCTTGAACCAGATGAAGTCGTGTGTACCTGTTTTGACTGTAAGGTTGGCAGCGCAGCAGAACGGCCATCCACACGGTGCATTTACAGTAATATCGCATTGGAAAATGAGTTATGTGCATTTCATCAGTGTACATTTTCTGACAACTTTGAAGAGTGCACAGCAGCACTGACTGTGTATGAGCTTGCTATTCAAAACGTCTGCAGTATATAATCACAACCTCCACTACAGCGCTGTCAGTAAGTGAGTTTAATCTAACTGCAGAAGTTTGTCTTCTGGGGCCAAACATCAAAATGATGTTTTGCAGCAGTCCATTAATTCTGGTTTTGGCATTTGTTTGGCTTCCAGTAAGTGGATGTAAATGACTCATACCTGCTCTGGCTGGTTGGCGTTGGACAGCGGTATCACCATCCAGATGATGTTGAGGTTGTTGAGGGCAGCGCTGGTGGTGAAGGAGCAGGGCAGGACGGCGGCTTGGCCTCGCGCCACCTGGATGCTGCTCTGGGACACCGTGACATCCAGCGCCCGCACACACACTGGAGGTGGAAAGAGCAGCGATCAGGGTTCATCACAGAACAGCACACGTAGCACTCAGGTATAAACTAATAAAACAGCGAGCAGGGAGAGCAGAGCACACATCTAAACATTCCCGGGAAAACCTGACAGATGCATTTTGAGCGATGTCTCCAATAAATCTTTGCACTCTGTACGATAGCGACAACTTCAAAGTCCTCCCGCCGGCTGTGTATGATCACCTGTATATTAGAAAACTTGCCTTTAGTGAGTGAGAAATAAAAATGGACACACACAAGATGATTCAGTACCAGTCATACAGATCAAAACCTCTGCCATGTGCACCAACATGTGCAATATTTTAAAAAGAAAAATGTCAAATCTCTCGGCGCATCTTTTACAGCAAAACAAACACGATTCCTGAAGAGCCGAGGCCCTCTTCAGCAACTAAGCACACATCCAGACCCCACAGCGACGGATCACATGAAATATGTAAGAGTGAACCGGAGAAACGCGATTGTCCGTCTCTTGAGATGTTCATTTTATGTATTTGCTAGAACAACTGGTTTCTGTCATGGGAACACAAGTCTGTATCAGTGCAAATGAACCGGACACGTGGGGATCGTAATGGTCACACTGGCAGGCTGCAGCTCACTAAACCAACCAGCTTGTTTTCTTGTGCACCGGGAGAGGTTCGTCCTCTTGGGCTGAGGAACTAAGGAGTTGCCTTCCTCATCTGGACTCGGCTGTCAGCCACAACAGACCCACAGAGACAGATATGGACATGCTGCATCCTATTTCTAGACCAGCTAAAGACATTAGGGTCGAAATCAAGTTAGATCTCCCCCGCAAGCATGCATCCATGTCCAAAAACCCCAATGGGAAGTAATCTTATCGAAACATGATGAGGAGGATGATGCACTGATGTGATTAGGGATAATTGATCATGTCCTGTGAATCGTTCATATTAGTGATGATGTAAAATGATGATCCTGCTGTAAGTCAATAGTAGAAACCACCTGAGTGTTCTGAGATGTAGTCAAGCAATGACCACATCGTACAACACCATATATCCTACATAGTCTGTATTACTTCTAGGTGGTGGAATATGAGGCTTTTTCTGCAGTCTGCTATGAATTTCAGGCTTTAAGATTCATTTCTGCCAAACCTGGGTTTGAACATCGCCGTCATGTTCTCGCCGACAGACTGCCTGTTGCTCCCTGCATGTCTGACCGGAGCCTGCTGGACTTCCTACGCTTTCCTTCTGCTGGCAGACACCACAGGCCCTGCAGGCTCACTGCTGGGCCAGGGGAGATAGGCAGCACTCAGCTACGCTTTATAACACATGTATCCATGAAAAGACTCCCAGTAAATTATGCAAGCAATTTCACTCAGAGGCATTATATTCCACTGGAATGTCAATATGCATCATTTACAGTAGTGTGATCCACTGTGCAGCTCCGTCTCCTCAGCATGTACGTCACAATGCAGCTAATGAGCTTCCATTACCTCTTCTGACATCTACAATCTGAGGGCCGCCATTATAAATGCAATAAATTACAAACGCTTAGGTCACCGCTCTAATCTGATCTTCCTCTGTCCTCCGTGTACACAGTGTTCACTTCCTGCACAGAATCAATCTACGTTCTTATTGAGGATTAACGGCGGCGAGGAAGAATTTTATACAACGGGTTACGACCTGAACAGAGCTGATTGTGTTGGCGACCGGAGATCAATGCAAGTGGATGGTCTCAGTGGTCACATAGGTATTAAATAGGGTAGGGAAGGAAGGAAGGAAGGAAGGAAAGAAAGAAAGAAAGAAAGAAAGAAAGAAAGAAAGAAAGAAAGAAAGAAAGCTCCTAGAGGAATGGAGATAGAAGGAGCATCTTATCATCTCTAAGCCTCCTCCAAGGCAGCAGTCTCTCAAGCCCACAACAGCTGGAGGGCTCATTTCAAAACACTGGATTAGGGAACCTCTGTGCTCAGAGCCTGTAAGCTCCCACGACCAAAGAACAACACACACAGAACCACAACAACAAGCACACGCACACAAATGCCAGCGAACATATGCGCGCACACATTACGTCCACTGTGCCCTCTCAGCTCACACACACACACACAACATGACCACCCACCAGCACACACACACACACACACACCGCTCGGCAGCATCTATATGTACGGTGGCCCTTTAGGGACACTTCTAACAGAAAGAGATGGGAACTGCGGCATTGCTTGGCATTGCCTCATTATTGCACACAGTTCTGCCAAAGCTTTGTGCCAGCTCCTCAGCTCCACTCATGAAGCATGTCTGCTAGACAGCCGCTCTTCCAGAATACATCCTGTACAGGGCTTGATATGTGATCGATGAATGGGAGCCTCTCATTGTCAAATCTGGCCACCCACATGAAAAATGCACACAGTACAGTAGCTTATACAAGATGATGCAGCGACTTGACAACTAAGGAGAGCCACTGTGGCCGTGCAGGGCTGAATTACATCTTCTAATCACCTGGAGACAACGAGACTGATGTGAGGAAACACTCTCAGAGACAGGCCGGCTTGGTTTTGATCCAGCAGCGGTAACCCTGCTCCGCTCTACGCTTCCCTGCTATTTATGCCCAGGGCTGAGTGAATCAAAAGTTCTGCAGCCTTCTCCATATCTGCAGGCTGATGTGCAGAGGTGTGATGTGGACGAGCTGTCCATGGGTTTACTGTCCGGGCCTTTCCATTATTCTGTCAACAAACACCGCGCTTCCTCCTCCTCCGTTCACTTCCAGCCCCGAGCTGGCTCGAGGCTTCGCTCAGCTGGACCCAGACCAGCCGAGAAACAGCAGAAGCTAATCTCTGAAGTTGACCATCTTCCACCCACAGTCATGGATACCTGTGATAGAGCACCGCTGTGTTAGCGGTCGTTTGTTTGTTCTCACCTCCACTGCTTCATGTGATGCAGCACAATTAAGTTCACATGTAGTGATAAATCATTTTATCTTCTCTGTCCTGTCTTTCTATTATTACCACCCAGTTAGTTCTGTCTCTTAAAAAGGATATTTTTGTACAACTAAACTGCATTTTCAGTTGCGCTCTGAGGAAAACTTGTTTTTTCTCAGATTACTGTCAAATCAAATGATCTTTGCTGTTTCTGTCATTACTTTACCTTTTCAGCAAACCTCTCATCTGCCAGGTAACCCAGAACACAGAGAAGCTTCCAACATGCTGGTTTTTAAACCGTAGTATTTATAACCAAGCAGGTTTAGTGGCGAAAACCAACTAAACAATCCAGGACAACAGCCCAGCTGCAGACTCTGAACACTGCGTTACGTCCCAACTCTTTCACCCTGGAAGCCTTTTCCCTTCCTGCTCCACTACAGTCTTAGTTTTTTGGGGAGAATTTTTTTTTTCAAAGCATGGAAGGAAATGCAGGTGAATTAGGAGCATGTTTAAGCATACACAGATTTGTATCACAGAGTGAACAATAATCAGGTCATGAGGCTTCAGTGGAGTCATGATTGATGTTACATCTTTTACATCCTCTTTTAAAAATATCTGAACATTTAGATAACTCAGAAGTATGTTGACTGCAGCAGTTCCCTAAATACAGCAAAAGCAACAATTCACTGTGGACTCGCAAAATCAAGACATTTGGCAAATCTGTGAGCTGCACTTATTCACATATGGAAGCATCCTGCTGGTCCAGGGATCAATAATTAAGTGACTGCATTTCTCTGACTGGATAATCAACCATCGAGTAGTTAAAATGCTCAGGTACATCTGTTTTTTTGTTTGTTTTTTTGTTGTTATGAATAAAATAAAATAACAAATGTATATAAGAACTGAATGCAAAGACAAAACAGGAGCGCTACCTGAATAACTTATCGTACATTTGTATTTCAGTTCTTTTTCCAGAGTGGCTGTATGGACTACTATCATAGACGAAAGCATTTGAAAGATGTTCCCGTTGTTTTTATCAAAAAGGGCAAAGCACAGAGAGTAGATAAGGTTGAGAGGAAGTGTGCAGAAAGGTGTGGGGTGGGCGAGGAGTTAGAGCAGCGATAGACAAGGAGGAGGATAAAAAAAAACACACACGATGCACCACGGACGTCAAACAGGGAGGTACTGATAGAGAGCGTAAGTCAGAAGAAAGAAAGCAAAACGGGAGGCGAAAAATACGCGAGGACAAGAGAGAGCACAGAGGATGCTGCTGTTTCCAGAGAGGCCTAATTGATAAAGTCACCCGAGGCAATGCCGGCAGTGAGGAGGAGAACCGACAGCGCGGCTCTGTTGAAACAGCTCTCTGCTCATTCAGGATCCCAGTGTCAAAACTGCTGCTGATTAATGCATGAGAGGAGCACACACCTCAGAGAGCAGGCCGTGTGTGTGTGTGTGTGTGTGTGTGTGTGTGCGTGTGTGTGTGTGTGCGCGCGTGTGTGTGTGTGCGTGCACGCCTACTCATCCAGTCAAGCTAAGGTGGAGCCATGATGGGATGAAGAACAAATGCAGAGCGAATACAACGCTTCCCCTCCCTCACACACACACACACACAGACAATTCCTGCCTGGCGAGTCATTTGCATCCTGTGTTTTTATTCATGTGGCTCTTTTATTCATGGGCTTTACTTTTATTTCAGTTTCAAACAGATGCCCTGATGCTGTGATGTGCTGAGCCTCTGGCACAGCTTCACCGGGACACACACACCTACACATGCACACACCTGTTTAAGCGACATGATTGATGATGGTGCGAAGAAGTGACTAAAGAAAGACCACAGGGCGTGCATTAATACATAAAGTGAAATACATCCTCTTCTTCCTGACACTACACCGAGACCTTATCTCTTTTTTAAAGCAGCAGCGAATGTTTGAAATCCTCAACTTTGGACCTCAGACTTTCCCCCGATCACCACAACTCTGTGATTTTAGAGTCAACAAACGACTAATATTCACAGTTTTGAACAACAGAGACACATTTAAAAGCATAAAAGCCTCGTTCAGCTGCACTTTCACCAAACACAGGAGCGTAAAAA